TTTAAAGCTCATTTAAGGTGATGATCGATATCTAGTTGCTTACAACTTGTAGGTTAAGCATGAGATTACCTAAATACCTAAATCATGTTTTTCATGGATTATAATGACTGATTATTGATGAAATATTGATATATTTGATAAGGAATGAAATTGCAAATGATTTGGAAATCATATTGATAAAAATGGAGCTAAATGAACTATTGTGTGAAATAGGCATTTTTACCCATGTGTGAATTGTGTAAATACATAAATGATTATTTATGTATTACATTGGATGATTAAGTTGTTGTACATATTTCTAAATATATAGGGATTTACAAATGAAATATATGATTGATGGGAATAATCTTAATGGTATTGGAATACTAGTTAATGATTGTTTGAAATTGTTAAGGAATTGAATCTAAAGATTTGATTGTAAGTGATGTACTTGATTGTGGTTCAAGTGACTAAATTGATGTAATGTGATGCTAAGATCATGATGAGGCAGTCCGTAAGGATGTCCCGAAATAGATTATTGATATTACAATTCTAGGCATATCGAGTGCTTAGGAATTGGGGTCTATGCCAATGCAAGGAGATGTACTTGAGCCCGATGCTCTATAATTGCATGGGTGAACATGACGTCGGAGATTGGTGGAGTAATTGACTTGTGATTGATGTGCATGGTGATGTAGTCGAGTTGGACTCGAGAAATGCAAACATGTGTGTTACGGTTGAACCCTATGTATTGTCGTGACTAGGGGTCACGGGGTTTGGGTTATGTTTTGTAAACGAACTTTGGGCCATGGGCCGACTACTTGACTTTATATATATAAAGTACGTACATTTTAAAAAGGGATAACTTAGGGTTACATCCTAGAATTATATTATCACCCTATTTAAGGGTCTTGTGTTTGAAATACTTGTTGTATATCTATTAGATGCCATCCACACCAGTACTTTATAGTCGTATAGAGTACTGACCCCCTTTCGAGGGGCGTCCCACCACCATTTCAGGTTGAGGCTAAAGCTTGCTACCTGTGCTTGTTGATCGGACGATCATCTCGGAGGGGAAGACTTGGTTCGTGCTTCATCCATTCTGATTTTAAACATTTTAAAACATGTTCATGGATATTGTTTTTTCATTATGGAGCCTGCGTGCTCGTGTTTGCCCCGTGTGGCACTTGTATCCAAACTATGATTTCCGCTGCGTATTCAATTACTTATTATGTATGTTTATGGATGAGTTATGTGTGAATGATATTCGAGACGCCTTGTATAATATGGATGAGTCGGACTGCGGTTGACTATTCATATTGTGTGGTGGATTGTTGACGTGTCCGGATAGGTCTGGGGCGTGACAGATTGGGCAGGGTGTCCAGATAATTCTCGCTCCACTATAGGTTTTGCAGTTTTCTTGGGTCCTAATTTGGTTTTATGGAAGTCCAAGAAACAGCCTACAGTGTCCATGTCTCCTACAGAGGCGGAATATCGTGCTATTGCTTATACAGTGCAGGACACCTTACACATCAGATCAAGTCTTTTTTAGCTTGGCTTTCCCGTTCATGTTTCAGTGCAGCTCTTTTGTGATAATAATTCTGCCTCATATCTGACGACTAATCCGGTCCAGCATGCTCGGAGCAAGCATATTGAGATAGATTATCATTTTGTTCGTGAGAGGGTCACCCATGGTGATTTAGTTGTCAAATATGTTCCTACTCATCTTCAGCTAGCTGATATTTTTACTAAATGTTTATCTAGTCAACAATTTAATTTTTTAAAGGACAACCTGCGCGTTGTATCTCCCGCACATCTTGAGTGGATGTAATAGTTAACATAATTAGGAATCCTGGTGTATTTTGAAAACTCCTTTTATTATACATATATCTGTCAGGACTCCTATTGGAGTACCCTTTTCCCATTATTCTACAATCAATCTTTATGTGCTTGCTTCGATCATGCTGAATGGGGTTAACCGCCAGGTAGGATGCTCCAAGAATGCATCGGTGGGCGCTTGAGATGAAGAATCCATGGAAAGTACGGTAAAGTGCGGCTGAGTAACAGCAGCGGCAAAGGCCTGGGAGTCGATAGGCGATGTAGTCATGGTGTAGGGTTTGAGGTTTAGGATCGTATAGCAATTGATACCATATGAGAAATATAACGGAATGGTTTACCCTAGCGGTAGCCATATGCAGGTATATATAATATCGTAAGAATTAGTAATTACAAAAGTATCCCTACAGTATTATCTATTAACTCGTAGGGAGATGACCGCTAGAGAGAAGACTCTTCAATTCCAACAATTAACCGGAATACCCCAGCCTCACTCCTCAGCAAAGGCCGATAGCGGACAAATCCAAGCTAGCGGTTACCTTGCGGAAACCCTCGAGAGAAGGAGGAGCATCGTTGCGACAAACAATGTAAAGTTAAATCCTCTTTAATTATTGATAACTAATTCCGTTTTTAATGATTAAAATTTACGTATATATTCAGAGATTACTTTAAATTCACTTCAAATATTACAGACTTCAAATTAGAATATATTTTGAAGTTAACTTCATAGTTAAGTTAATAAAATTAAAAAATTAAAAAATTAAAAAATTAAACTATGAAAAACAAAATTGCAAATGGAGATAGAATACAATTACTCGGTATTAAACTCCTAAAGTAGGGCGGAGGAAACAAATCCTTAAGTGGTGACATCAAGGTGTGAACACATATGTTTCAACGCTTCTGCCAACTGCTATTATTATGGACATAGCCCACACTACGGAGTCAGTCTGTCCCTCATCCAAAGTTTGAGAATTCCTAGGATTCGATATTTTAGTTCAAAAGTGTTTGGTGACACACCTTGCACACATCTTATACACCCTTGTACACATCTTATAAATACAATATTTGTGAAGTTTTTTTTGTCTGTTAATCCGGTTCATAGACAATATTTTATTTGTGCAAAAAAAAACCTTTCACAAACATATGTGTGTACAAAATTGTGTATAAGAGTGTGTACAAAAGACTTTTTTGATTTTAGTTTATGGATTTTAGACGCACTAATATTCGAATATTAAATATTTTCTCAATATTTGATCGAGAAATCTTGTGATGAAAGCTCCACTCCCAATAGATAGATTTTGTCAAATTCAAATAAGATGAAAAATAAGAAAAATAGAAATTTAGTGGCTGAACTTTGTGCAAAGGAGAGATTCACAATTTAATTACTTTACAAGGAAAGTGATTATTTTTTTAAATAATCATAGAATGAAAGCTGATAAAGTTTAATAGACAGAGTGAGTATTATGTATATGTAGGTATAAGTTATTTCCCCCGATAAGAAGAAGTCTTATGATTTATATTTTCAATATAAAAGTTACCTGTATAGATGTTAAAACATTTGAAAAGAGTTAATAGTCCAGTATCAAATATGGAAATATATATGAGAAATAGTTAGTTGGTATATGAGTAAATGACAAGATTGAGCCCCCCCCCCCCCCCCCCCCCCCCCACAACCACTCAGCATGCAGGTGAAACAAGTCTTGGACTTCTGAGAATCAATATGGCTATATATATAAAGGATGACACCCCAAGCCCCCCCATCCTGACCGGACGGTACGTTGGGATGATGTAAATTGGACTATAATCACAATCTGACAGATAGAGAGTGGGTCATGTCCTCGATACTTGCAGAGGCCCTATGCATTTTTAACATAGTAACCTCTCATCACAGTTGCCGGGAGTCGAACCCGGGACCTAACCCTTGTGGCACTCCCTTCCTATCAGTTGAGCTGCGCCCACCGGTTGGCTATATATATATATAATTCTCTAATAGTAAAAAACATTTAAAAATCAGATTATGAAACTTTGTAATGAGACAAATTCAACAATATTTTTTAAAAAATAACAATTCACACACATTAATAAATAAAATGTAATCAAAGTAGATTACATGAATAGTGTGTAAATTCCGATGTTGCAACGTTATATTCAATGAGTTGTTCGAATTGAATTTTGAGTTTGCTCCCTAATAAATCCAATCTATGTAACATATATGTTACATGTCACACTATAATAAATGTCAATTTAAAAATAGAAAGAAAAACATGCTTATGCCACAAAACCGGTAAATCGGCATTGAGTCAACAAGCTTTACTGGGCAATCTTATCAAAAAGTTTGAATATTTCGCATTAATTTAATTAGTTAACAATGAGAAATAGCTAGTCAAAGCTATATTCTAAAAATAGTTTTACAAAGTCCAACACAGATTTTAGAATTACAAAATAGGAGTATGTTTTAGGCAAAGTTTTGGAAATATGAGTAAACAAACTTTTGCAATTCTAAAATAGGACTGTAGTTGCAATTCTAAAACAGGTTTCATAATAGGAGTATGTTTTTGCAATTCAAACTAGTTGTAATATTAGACATTAACATCGCAGTATTTACTATTGACATTGAAGTATTTTTCAATCATGTCAGTAATAACTCCTACTTTGAAAAGAAAAATATAAGTCATATTTTAAAATTTCATAACGTTTTTACTCTTATTTATGTCAATTTCTCTATTTAGTAAAATTTTCCTAAGTTTTATTCAATGAACAACAATTGTTAAAGTCTGATATATCAAAACATAATTGTTTTATTTTAAAATTTTAAAACGTTTTTTTATTGAGATGGCCGGAAAATATATTTTGATTTATTCAAGTACTCTTGTTTGTTTTACCTAGGTGTTGACGAGGTAGTTACGGAATTATATCATCACTATATGATATATCTACAAATTTATATTTAAATCCACTCTGAAATTAAAATAGAATAGGAGTGCACTTAGAGTGTGGGTCAGTGTGGGTAGGGAAGAAAATGAAAAAAAGATAACTTGCATGGGAGTACGTGTTGGAGACATGAATTGGGGCATGCATGAGAGGACACGTGGCTGATCTCTCCAGTTGTAATATGGACACAACCTCAAACTTTTACACTTGTCTTCCTCCTTCCAATATAAATCTTCATCAAGATCACTATCATTCAGAACACTACCACTTCCAATTTTCCTACTTTATACTTACCATATATGCAAATAATAAATCAAATCATATCCCTTCTTCATTCATAATATCACATCAGATAAGACTTCTTTAATTTTCCGATCCATGGAGGAGGGTGAAGAGAGTAACAGAAAATCACATAACGTTAACGTTACCCCCACGGCAGCGAAGAAGTCAAATCTTGGCCGGTCAAGGAAGGGCTGCATGAGGGGTAAAGGCGGCCCGGAAAACGCTCTGTGCACTTTCCGGGGCGTCAGACAGAGGACCTGGGGGAAATGGGTAGCCGAGATTCGCGAGCCGAATCGCGGGGCCCGAGTTTGGCTCGGGACGTTCAACACGTCCAAAGAGGCGGCCCGGGCCTACGACGAAGCGGCCCGGAAACTCTACGGCCCGACAGCCAAACTCAACCTCCCGGCGGAGAATTGTGACATTTCCTTACTGTTATCCTCATCCTCCTCCCAGGGATCGGCCGTCGCCGGATCCAACAACTCCGAGGACAACTACATGTCATCCTCACCAGTATCCTCGATGTCGGACGGGTACGCCGAGGATTGTTCGGTTCTCGATGAGGCTTCGGTGTTCCGAGACCGGAACGGGAACTATATGCTCTGGGAAACTCCGGCGCCGAGCTTGCTAGATGATGCCGACAATGAACAAAACAAAGGGTGGCCGGAGATATCTAGCAGGGACGGCGGTTTTGTCCATTGTGCTGGTGGAAGGGGCATTAACAGTGTGGATATGGGAGGTTTGCAGGTGCCACCATGGTCGTATTAATTGAGTGTGCCATTATCTTACGTTACAGTACGTGTGTGTGTATATATATACTATATATATATATATCTAAATGCTTTAATTTTGATAATAATAAAATGGACAAATTAAAATAAATGGTGTAATATATTGTATATTGAGGAGATTATATATTATATTCCGAAGTCGTTACTGCTTATATATGGTTATGTATATGTATCAATTTTATGTCAAGTTAATAGGAAGTATTGTACTAGTAAAATAATTTAACCGTAAAAAGAATTAATACTGCGTATAATGTTTAGATGAAGGCAAGTTCTGCGTTATGTTACATTCTTATATATATGGTAGATTCTATTCTATGATACTCATAAGGTACCATATCTTGATCCACATGGATCAATGAAAGTGTTGCAGTTGAATTATTTAAGTCTAAATTAAAAATGATATACCTATTTAGACCAATCAAATGAATGGTAGGTACGATACCCCATTTTTTAAATGGGTACCGGAGTTGTCACCTATATATATTACCGTTACTCCACCTAAATTAATTAGAATTATAATAGTACCACGGCGCATCGTATAGATCACGAAGTATTAACATCATTTATCAATTTTTTCCCAAATTACCTCGATTACCTCGATTTTTTTCCAATATTACCTCGTTTGTTTTTCACTTTTTCGGAGGTTTCACGTTAAACCGCCGCTAAAAGCACCATTTTGCTTTGTAAAAAGATGACAATTTGGTCTAAGCCGCCAATATCCAAAGAGGGGCGAAGTACTCTTTGATTAAGGGAGGGAAAATCAAGTAAAGAAGTTTTAAAATTTTAAAATAATATTGTTGAGGGTAAGTCCCGTAGATCCGAAAGCCCAACACGAACTTTGGATATATTAGGAATGGCCCAGAATCAAGGTGTACGAGAAAATATAAGATCTGAACTAACTAAAACTCGAAAGCTCACTTGTATTAATTAACCAATCTGATTACAAGGGATTTCCCGATCGATAAGTCGGAAACTATGCCTTAATACAAGAAATAAGAGCAAATGGTGCTATTCTAGAGCTTGAGTATTGAAATGCTAACCCTTACCATGACTTGAAACCTTCTATTTATACTAATGGAGAGCATGGGCTGCCTCTTGCTGATTGGCCGTTGTTCCACCGACTTGGTCATCCATGCTTCCACTTGCTGATGTCACAGTCTGGCATTAACTGCACCTGGCCACTTGCTGGTTGGCCGTTGCTCGAACGGGATGTTGGTCCATACTGAAGAAGCTGTCAACTTGGCCCAAGTATAGTAAATAGTCCGAACCTCGTTCGGTATGTCTTCTTATTGGGCCAACCTTTATTTGGGCCGAACCCCGTTCGGTATGTCTCCTTACTGGATCTTCTCATCATAGAGTGATGGGCCTGTTACTTGGGCCGGATATCTTGGGCCTTCCCGATCTGGGTATTGGGCCTCTAGGTCAATATCCCAACACAAGTCCCCCACTTCCGATGTCTCGAACGAAGTGAGTGCATCAGGAAGTATACCAATGTCACAATACCCCGAATGGCGATCGGGGTACATAAGTAGCCAGTTCCCCATGCTGCGATTTGACGGCTGCCGCTTCATTTCCCCATATTCATCATGATAACCGTCGTTTAGTCTTTTCATTAGACGCGTGTCTAGCTTAAATGCCCCTAGTGATGTGTCGCTCTCTGATTGGCTCTCGACACGGCGGTTTCAAGGCTATAAATTAACCCTTAATTCCTCAATTCCGGGTTTTCGACTCTGCAATTCCTTGGCCTTCGTTGTTTTCTCTGCAAATTTCCCTCTGCTTTCCTTGCTCAGGTAACTTCCCAACCTTGGATTCCCCACCTTCATTTCTGGCTTCGATCGAGATGAGCCTCACAGAGCATTCTTCTGATTCGGAGATGGCCTCTCACGGGGATGACCGTGACACCACCATGATACACGCCATCCCAGTTCCGTTTGCCGGTGTTTCTACCGAGATGGCGACGAATACCAGGGCTGAGGCGGAGGACCTCCCTAGCACTTCTTCTTCCTCTAGTGAGGATTCTGACGACACCAAGTCTGAGGACGAATTGGCCTCCATGGCGGCCGGACGTCCCAACGATGTTCCTCGCCATACTCTTGACCTAAAATTGATTAGGGAGAGGAGGCAAAAATTGACCTCTCACAATAGGGCCGAAATCCCGGCCCTTATCCCTGACCCGGTGGATTTCCGTTTGCAAGCCGGGCTTCATCCGATGCGTCATAGGCCCGGAATGACCATAGTCCACTTTGACTCAATTAGGGCCGGCCTTAGATTTCCGCTACACCCTTTCTTTATTTCTTTCTTCAATTTCTACGAAATTGTACCGGCCCAGATTATGCCGAACTCTTATCGGGCAATGGCGGGTTTCATTTGTCGTTGCAAAGATGCCGGCGCCCGACCAACCTTAGAACTTTTCCACCAGTTTTTCAAAGTAGCCCCCCAACAAACCCATGGCTATCTGGCCACTAGTGCCCGAACGGGACACATCCTGTTCAAAGGAAACCCAACTTCGATCAAAGGGTGGAAAGACCGGTTTTTCTTCGTGTCCATCCCGGGCGGTCTGATTCCCCGCAAGTGGAATGCTTTTCCCCGCAAGACCCCTGATCCTGTCCTGACTGAAGAAATCTACAAGGACGTGCTCGCTGTGGAGAAGGATAAATGCATGGACATCATGAATTATCTAACCCCCGAACGACTTATAACAGCCGGGATAGGTACTGCCCGTTCTCTTGGGTTTACTTGTTTTGATAAACCAAGTGCCTTGGTCCGGGCGGTCCTTCCCGTGCGAGAAACGTTCCTTTATTCTTTTTTATTTAGTTTCTCACACGCTAGGGCCGCTCAATACTAACATTGTTCTTTGCCTTTTTTCAGCACCCAACCCAGATCTTCCCATGGATGATAGCAGAGTCATCGCAGCCGGTGGGGGCGGAAAACGGAAAAAATCCCGGAAGAACCCCCAACCTACTCCCACCATCGTTCCCGCTCAGGAGGCTGCCCCTTCTCAATCGCTCCCAGAACCTCAGCCAATTCAGCAGGTCCACCAAGATCAAATAGAGGCCATGCTGCTTGATGATCGGTTTGGTTCTGACCAACTGCACCAATTTCCCAGCATTTCGACTCCGTTCGGGGGGAATCCTCGAATGCTGGTGAGACACATACCGACCACATTACGGGTCAGGTCGAGCGGATCTCCCTATCCGACCCTGTTCACGAGGTTTTAGAGAGGGCTGGATCTACTGCGAGCCAGATCTGGTCTACCTCCTCCTGGTTTAACAACTTTTCCCTCCCTCAGTTGCCGGTCGAGCAATCTGAGGAATGTTTGGCTCTGACTGCTCTGAAGGTACGTTGTCTCTTGTGTTTTGTCTTTACTTTATTCCCCGTAACCAGTACTAATCCTCGAACGGCATTCTGTAGATGGGTTTGTACACCCTTCAGATGCGGGAGGCCCGCCTGGTCAAGGAGCGGGAACTGATCGTTGCCCAGTCTTCTGCTGAGCAACATGCTGTTGCTGCCATCGCCTCTCTGGAGGCCGAACGGAAAGCCTTTGCGGAGGAAAAGCAGAGGCTGGACGCTGAACTTGGTACCCTCCGGGTCCAACTTGCAGCTTCCCAGGCGAAGGTCCTTGCCGCTGAGGCTGCCCAGGTCAAATTTGAAGAGATGCCATCCAGCATCCCGGACGGTCCTTATGAAGTGAGCGTGGATCTGTCCGCCGTCCGGGATACGTTTAAATCCTCTGATGAATTCTCCATCATCAAGGATGAACACGCAAGGGTCCAGATCTCGTTCGCCTTTGGGGCGTATTTAAAGGGTTTTCCCAAAGGCGCCGGCCGGCTATCGGCAGGGGTGGCCCTCTTGGATAAGGACCCGGAGGCCAAAAAATGGAATGATTCCATTGTCTCCGATCTTTATGGCAAAATTGGCCAGGTCTTGCTGCGTCCCTTCGTCATTCAGCTTCAAACTCAATTGGGGAGGCCGGTTCAGGCTTCTGATCTCCCCTCAGATGAAATTATCCAGGCGCAGTTTGAGAAATTTCTGCGAGCCCAACAACGGGAAGCTGATCGAGCTGCGGGAAAAGAGCCTGAACCCCCGTCTGATGATGATGAGGATGAAGATGAAGAGGGAGATGAAATGGCCCACGATCAATAATTCATATGTATTGTAATTCTTGTTTTAATTTCCTTTTTTCCTAGCCTGTATTTCCCGGTCAGTAGTACCGATGAATATATATCCCTTTTTGCCTGAAACTTGGCGTACTATCTTTTCTGTTTTTAATGCATGATTTACTCGCCATTCGGGATTCGGCCTATTTGAAGGACTTGACCAATTTCCCAACTTATTTCTTGCTCAAATAATCCTAACGCCGTTAATCGCCGTTCGGGCATTAGAAAGTTCTGATGATTTAAGGAAAAAACCCCTTCCCCCTGGTACTCAGCCGTTCGGGCTTCATACCGAATTTTAGGACTTGGCACATTCTTGCTTCAGATAGTCTCTTACAACTTGATAGCCGGTCGGGCTTCAGTTCAATCCTAGGCTATCTTTTTATGACGTTGATAATCGGTCGGGCTTCAGGCTGACATTTAGGACTTAGCATTTTTTCCCAGATAACCTTTTACAATACTGTTGGCCGGTCGGGCTTCAGGCTGATATTTAGGGCTTAGCATTTTCTTCCTGATAACCTTTTACAATACTGTTGGCCGGTCGGGCTTCAGGCTGATATTTAGGGCTTAGCATTTTCTTCCTGATAACCTTTTACAATACTGTTGGCCGGTCGGGCTTCAGGCTGATATTTAGGGCTTAGCATTTTCTTCCTGACTTTTAGCATTTTTCTAAACAGCAAGCCCCTGTGATCTTTGCTAATCCTCTGTAAGCCCGTCTGGGGTACGTGCATAAAAAATGAATCATAAATGCCCCAAATTAATCGTAACCACCCAATGCCACGTGTTGCTCCTGGATTTGTGCGGTACTTTCCCTATTTATAGGGAGGTGCTTCCCCTAATTTCTCCTGCTGTTTTCTCACTTTTCTTTCGAGCTTTCTCTCTCTAGAATTCCTTTGCATACTCTCAAGCCTTCTCTCTCTAGAGTTCCCAAATTTCCTCCAGCGTTTTTATGTACTATTCCTCTAGCTCAGAATCTGAAGAGATGCCTTTGATTCGTAAGAGCAAAACATCCGCTGGTAATCAGGCCGAAGGCTCTTCGTCCCAAACACCCAAACCTGCCAATACTCAGGTC